CCAAATCCCCATTTTTCCCCCCCAAAATCCCATTTTTTCCCCCAAAATCCCCGTTTCCCCCCCCACAAAATCCTGATTTTCCCCCCAAAATCCTAATTTTTTCCCCCCAAAATCCTATTTTTCCCCCCAAATCCCCATTTTCCCCCCAAAAATCCCCGTTTTCCCCCCAAAAATCCCCATTTTCCATGAAAACAGCTTGGATTTGTGGGAATTTGGAGCATTCCAGGATGGAAAAACCGGGTTTGGGTGAGAATTCCAAAGGGATCCAGCCCAGGGAGGGGGTTGGGATTGGCTCCAGCCACGGATTCCGGCGGGATCAGGGATTAAAGGGCTCGTCCTGGTTATGAAACCCCGGGATTTGGGCTGGATCAACCTCCAGAATGACAGCCTGGAGGCTTGGAAAAGTACAGGGAGATAGAAAAACTCTTCTTCCCCCAAAAATCCCTGCTTTTCCCACAAAAAATCCGATTTTTTTCCCTAAAAATAATCAAGTTTTGCCCAAAATCTCCTGGTTTTCCTCAATAAATAATGTTTTTTTCCTCAAAAAGCAGTGGTTTGTCCCCCCAAAAAAATCTACTTCTCAGCCAAAAAATGTTTTATCTCAAAATTACTCCGGTTAAAAATAAAAAAAAATCAGTTTTACCTCCCAAAAAAACCCATTTTCAAAAAAAATTGCTTCTTTTCCCCCCAAAAAATTCATTTTCCCTCAAAACATATCAAAATTTCCTGCAAAAAAAATCTCCATTTTCCAAAAAACCCAAGCCATTTCCCCCACAAAAATAACCTCATTTCCCCCAAATTCCCTGATTTCCCAAAAAAACCGATTTTTTTTCCCAAAACTCATCTCTTATTCCCCAAATCCCAAATGCTTCCCCTCCAAATTCCCATTTTTTCCCCACTTCCCACTTGTTATTCCCAAACCCACGCCTGTCTCACCTCTAAAATCCACATTTTCCCCCCAAAAATCCCCTTTTCCCACCCAATCCCCGTTTTTCCCCCCTAAATCCCCATTCTCCACCCCCAGAATTCCCATTTTTCCCTGAGAATTCTCATTTTCACACCCCCAAATCACCCCCCGGAATCCAGGGAATTAGCTCGAGAAAACAGGGATTTGTTGGGTGGGGAATTGGAATTCAAGGGGAAATCCAGGGATTTTTTTAGGGAATTATGGAAATTTTAGGGAAAAAACCAAAAATTTTTGGAGAAATGACAGCTTTTTTGACAAAAACTGGGATTTGACAGGAGAAACCCTGGAATTTTCCCCACAGAATTCCCATTTTTCCCCCAATTTTTCACAAGGCAGGGCAAGTCCTGCTTCAGATTGATGGAATCCCCATTTCCCACCCCAAATCCCATTTTTTTCCCCTCAGAATTCCCATTTTACACCCAGAACTCCCCGTTTCCCACACAGAATTCTTCATTTTCCCCTCAGAATTCCCATTTCCCACGCAGAATTTTCCATTTTCCCCTCAGAATTCCCATTTTACACCCAGAATTTTCAGTTTTCCCCTCAGAATTCCCATTTTACACCCAGAACTCCCCGTTTCCCACCCAGAATTTTCCATTTTCCCCTCAGAATTCCCATTTTACACCCAGAATTCCGCATTTCCCACCCAGAATTTTCAGTTTTCCCCTCAGAATTCCCGTTTCCCACCCAGAATTTTCCATTTTCCCCTCAGAATTCCCATTTTATGCCCAGAACTCCCCGTTTCCCACACAGAATTTTCAGGTTTCCCCTCAGAATTCCCATTTCCCACCCAAAATTTTACATTTTCCCCCCAGAATTCCCATTTTACACCCAGAATTCCGCATTTCCCACCCAGAATTTTCCATTTTCCCCTCAGAAATCCCATTTCCCACCCAGAATTCTCCATTTTCCCCTCAGAATTCCCATTTTATGCCTGGAACTCCACATTTCCCACCCAAAATTTTACATTTTCCCCTCAGAATTCCCATTTTTCCCCCAATTTTTCACAAGGCAGGGCAAGTCCTGCTTCAGATTGATGGAATCCCCATTTCCCACCCTAAATCCCATTTTTTTCCCCTCAGAATTCCCATTAATCCCATTTTTTTCCCCTCAGAATTCCCATTTTACACCCAGAACTCCCCGTTTCCCACCCGGAATTTTCCATTTTCCCCTCAGAATTCCTGTTTTACACCCAGAATTCCGCATTTCCCACCCGGAATTTTCCATTTTCCCCTCAGAATTCCCATTTCCCACCCAGAATTTTACGTTTTCCCCTCAGAATTCCCGTTTTATGCCTGGAACTCCCCGTTTCCCACCCAGAATTTTCCATTTTCCCCTCAGAATTCCTGTTTTACACCCAGAACTCTGCATTTCCCACCCAGAATTCTCCATTTTCCCCTCAGAATTCCCATTTCCCACCCAGAATTTTCTGTTCTCCCCTCAGAAATCCCGTTTCCCACCCGGAATTCTCCATTTTCCCCTCAGAATTCCCATTTCCTGCCCGGAATTCTCCATTTTCCCCTCAGAATTCCCGTTTCCCACCCAGAATTCTCCATTTTCCCCTCAGAATTCCCGTTTTACGCCCGGAATTTCCCATTTTCCCCTCAGAAATCCCATTTCCCACCCGGAATTCTCCGTTTTCCCCTCAGAATTCCCGTTTTACACCCGGAATTTCCCGTTTTCCCCTCAGAATTCCCATTTCCCACCCGGAATTCTCCGTTTTCCCCTCAGAATTCCCGTTTTACGCCCGGAATTTCCCGTTTTCCCCTCAGAATTCCCGTTTCTCGGGTCACTCACGAGGCGGGCCGGTCCTGCCGCAGGTCGATGGTGAAGACCACGGCGTCCTCTCCTGCAGACAGGAACGTGCAGGGCGAGTCCGGCTCCAGCGCCAGCTGGGATTGGGGGGGGAAAAAAAAGTGGGAAAAACACCCCAGGAATAGCTCCTAAAAATCCCCAAAAAAGCAGGAAAATCCATCTGGAAAAACAACAAGTTTGGGGGTTTCCCGCCCTTGAACGGTGGTGATGTAATATGGGTGACGTCATTTGGGGTGACGTCATCTGGTGTGACGTCATTTGGGATGACGTCATGGAGACAACAGCACAGCCAAGGGTTCGAACTGCACCCAAAAAGTGGGAAAATCCCCAAATTCCTGGATTTTTATGGAGTTGAGTGGCCAAACCCGCGCCTCCCCGAGCTGTGCGGTGACATCACAGGTGACAACGGCCACATCCAAGGCTTGGAAAATTTGGGGATTCTTTCCTTCTGCTCCCAAAGAATCGGAAAATTCTTTCTCCCAGAAAAAAAACCCCCTTGGATTTTAATGGAACTGAGTAGAACCCACCCACTCTCACCTCTGGTAACATCACTGGGATGTCACAGGTGACATCACAGTGACACCAAAGGTGCGATGGATTGGCATTTAAGCAACAAACACCCCAGGAAGTTTAGGCTGCTGGAAGCTGATGGGGGTTTTTTCTCCAAAAACTGTTCATTTCTGAGAACTGACAGCAGTTTTGCTCACTGGAAAGTGAGATCAACCTGTGAACAACACCCTCAGAGCTAAACTTGGGAATTTGTCTCTGGTTTTTGGTTGTGGAAGGTGAGAGAGATTTAGATGGTTCTCATTTCAGGAGTGATGGGGTGGGCTGGGCTGGTCCTGCCGTGGTCCTTGGGCAAGGGATGGAGCCTGCAGGGATTTTCCCCTTCCCAGGCTGGGCTGGTCCTGCCATGGTCCCTGGGCAAGGGATGGAGCCTGTGGGGCTTCTCCCCTTCCTGGACCTGCCTGGTCCTGCCACAGTCCCTGGGCAAGGGATGGAGCCTGTGGGGCTTCTCCCCTTCCCAGGCTGGGCCAGGCTGGGCTGGTCCTGCCACGGTTCCTGGGCAAGGGATGGAGCCTGTGGGGCTTCTCCCCTTCCTGGACCTGCCTGGTCCTGCCACAGTCCCTGGGCAAGGGATGGAGCCTGTGGGGCTTCTCCCCTTCCTGGACCTGCCTGGTCCTGCCGTGGTCCCTGGGCAAGGGATGGAGCCTGTGGGGCTTTCATTTCATTTGCCATTCCCAAATCCCAGCTCACCTTGTGGGAGGCTTCCTTGTGCTGGGCTTGGTGCTGTGACAGCTGTCACCCGAGTGGTGACATCCTCAGTCCTCCCCCTCTTCCCACACCACTGCTCCCCCATTCCCAGGCACCCCAAATCCTGGGATTTGGCAGTCCCGGCATTTGCCATTCCGTCCCGGCATTTGCCATTCCCAGGATTTAGCATTCCCAGGATTTGGCATTCCTAGGATCCATGCTCATCTTGTGGGAAGCTCCTTTGTGCTGAGCTCAGTGCCGCGACAGCTCTGCCACCTCTGTGGTGACATCCCCAATCACCATTCCCACACCATTCCCCCATTCCCAGGCACCCCAAATCCCTGGATTTGCCATTCCTGGGATTTGCCATTCCCAGGATTTGGCATTCCCAGGATTTGGCATTCCCAGGATCCACGCTCATCTTGTGGGAAGCTCCCTCGTGCTGAGCTTGGTGCCGTGACAGCTCTGCCACCTCTGTGGTGACATCCCCAATCCCTCTGGCTCCCACACCATTCCCCCATTCCCAGGCACCCCAAATCCCGGGATTTGCCATTCCTGGGATTTGCCATCCCTGGGATTTGCCACTCACAAATCCCAGCTCACCTTGTAGGAAGCTCCCTCATGCTGGGCCACGCGCTTGGTGCCGCGAC